CTCACCTAATCTATCCTAATACATTATCAAAATCCTAAAAAAAAAGTGACAAAGTTTGCAAAGATGACTTAAACAAATTAAAAGCTTACATATAAAATAGATAGATTGCATGGGTTGTTCTGTCTCACTCTGATGTACAGTATAAAAAAGAATGTATATAGTATTTTGTATCACTTGAACAGTCATTTCAGCTTGAACAATATCTACACTTGAACAGTCCCCAAGATAATTGTGACAAAAGTGGTTCATTATGAAAATTCCCTAGAAATAAATATCTAAGCTTGTGATGTGAGATTTATGCTTACTTATTTCCTCAGGTTGATAGTTCTAAATTCCTTTTTTTTAATGCTTACCAGTTTTAAAAAGTTAAGAAATGAAAGCAGCCCAGAAACCCAAAGAAGTAAAACCAGTGCACCATGGGAAGAAAACTGTCCTCAAAGGTATGCTTGTGTTTTGAACAAAGTATACACATGGTGTTAGAAGTAATGTGTTTGCAGTTATCTCTGTGCGATCATCCTAACTCAAAATCTGCTTAGATTAAACGTTGATTCGCTTAGATTAAGGTCAATCTGAATCTTTACTAAATCCAAACTGAAGGCATTGCTTGACTTAGTTGACAGGTCCTGATTTGCTTCAGCCCATTGTTTCTGAGCTTACAAACAAATTCACTTTTTCCTTGTTTCTGCAGTGTCTAACTTCTCAGATTTAAACTGCTCTTGAATTTTCCCAAACAATAATTGCTGACATTCTTCCTGGCAGTGAATCTTTAGCAAAGCAACTCCTCCTTTATCAAGAGTTCTTTCCATACCAGAGTGCTTATATCTTTTGCAAAGAGAAAGGGCGGGGGGGGGGGGGAACCAATGTCCTTACGAAATCTCAGTAAACATTGTTTTAAATAGGATTTCCTGATGATTGCTACCACAGGGTGTAAAATAATACACTCTGAAGAGAGTAAAAGGTGACTAAAATAAATTATTTATGGTAATCCCACCCAAGTTGGATTTTTTTTTTTCATTTTTACTGCTGGATCTGCATTAGTTTTAAGAAAAAAGTTTACTTAGCTTGTGCAAAGAAGTGCCTGTGACTAAGAGCTTTTGGAATGCCATCCACACATTGGCAGAGCAAAGCAAAAACAATCCACATTTTATAACAAATCATGATTATTGCAAAGTTAGTTTCTTAAACCATTTACAGTCTTTGTTAAAAAGTCCTGGCTTAGTGTTATATCCAAAAGTATGTTAGTTAAATGTTGATGACACAATAGTAAAGAGAGATTATGGTAAGTAAAAGGAAGTTCTCTGAATGATAGAGATGCCTTACTATTTCATAAGAGCCATAGGTTGAGGGAAAGGCTGTCATATTTCTAGTGTCTTAAAATTAGTGTCTTTTTATCACTTGCTAAGACCTGATACCGAGATTTGAAATGGGTTTACTACATAGCTAGACCCCATCCTCAAGTAGCTGTTCTTTTTTACCGGTTGTTGTTATTTCCAAAGGTTAAGAGTGTGAAAACATACTGACTTTTCTGGGGTGAAGGGATAAAGGAAGAACAAAAGAGGTGGGGAGCCAAGCCAGTTATAATTCCCTTCATTTATATGTGAGATTTCTGTACAAAATGACGGTTGC